AATCCTCGGTTCCTTCCCTCCCCGGACAAATTTTGAAATTTCTTTCTGCCAGGTGTTTAATATTTTTAGAAAACAAATGTGATGGTGAGAGATCTCCAAGTGCCACCTGGAAGTTGGTAGGGTCAAGGGGACCCACTGCTGACCTTGACAGGGGTCAAAGGAATGAAGGGGGGGGCGGGAGATCCTGTCTGCCTATCTCCCTCCCCCTCCCTCCACAGCTTGGCCTGCACTTGACTATCTTGGCATGGCCGATTAAATGCGCCTTTGACGGCTTTGATCCTCCTCCCTCCCCTCCTCCCCAGTGTAAGATCTAAAAGGGTCTCCTGTGTTTCTCTTGCCTCCAGCCAAGGCTCACACGACACTCTCCACACACCGCCACCGATTCCCTTTGAATCTTCAAAGTCTTAGCATGCTTTAACCGATTACACATTTAGCATCTCTAATCTCTCTTGGCCCCCACCCTGGAGGCAGCCTTGGGACATGTCCCTCTTTTCTTTCAAGCTTGTCTTGTCACGCTGGCTCTGATGTTCCTCCAGCTCCACATTTGGCGGTTGGGGAGGGGGGGAGTTGAGAGGAGGGGGCAGCTGGTGATCTCTTGTGAACTCTTCTGAAGGAGAGGAGAGTCCCTCCCTGCGCAGGTCTCCTCAGACCTTGAGAAGCTGTTCCGGGATGCCGGGTGCAAGGGCAGCTCCAAGCATTGGTGCAGATGCAGCCGGCTCAGTTGTTAAATTTTGCCCAGTTCCCGTCTTTCTTATGGCTTTTCTGATGTAGGCCCTGTGGTCCCCAGCGCAGCCTTTTTGCTGGTCAGAAGGAACTCCCCTTCTCCCCTCTTTACCAGTGGAAAAGCTGTCCGAATCCAAGCTGGGATTCCTTTTTAAAACAAGCCCAGAGAGACTGTTCCTTGCCTAATAATGTGATTCCCATGTGGAACTCGCAGCCGCCAGACCTAGTTTTTCATCTGGTGGTTTATTTTATGGCCCAGTGGGTTCAGGAATCAGCTCTTTCGCCCATCTCCCCAGTCCCTTCTTTTGGGGCTGGGGTTGCCAGCTGACCAGAGAGAGAAAATCAGCTTCTTCTAGTGCCTTTAGTTTTCACCACATGAAAACAAGTACAGTTCGAAGGGTTTCAGGTCAAGCCCTATCTCTTTTGTACTTATTTATATCCCACTTTCCTTCCCAATGGGGACCCAAAGCAGCTCACACAGTATTATTCTCCCTCCCTCCATTTCATGCTCGCAACCACGACCTTGTGAGGTAGGCTAGGCTGAAAGAGTGACCGGCCCAGGGTCCCATGGCAGTGTGGTGATTCGAACCCGGAGCTTCCACTCTGACACTCTAACCACTACACCACACGTGCACTTTAAAGTTGGCGTCCCTACTGCGGGGCTGGCAGAAAAGGAGACAGGAGGCCGGGTGTTTGGGAGACGTACAAACAGAAAAGGAGGATCAAAAACAGCCGTGGAGAGACGCTGATGCACACATGAAAAAGACACCTGCAAGGACTGGCAGTCCAGACACGTTTCAAAGATATCTTTATCAAGGGAAATTATACATATGATTTCTTCATAAATCTACCGACAAAGCTGCGTGCTGCTGACGCGTCAGATAGACCCAAGCTGTGCCTATCCCTCAGTGATCTCGTGGGATATGCAGAAGCCCATTAGAACTACTGCACAGTGATTGGAACGTCCTCACATAAAAACGTATTTGGGACCTCAGTTAAGACACTCCATAAAGGATTTTTTTAAAGAATCGCTTTCTTCAAGAGTTCTAAGTTGGCTCGTAATCAGTGTTCCCTCTAAGCTGAGTTAGTGTGAGCTAGCTCACAGTTTTTTAGCCTCTGGCTCACACATTTTTGTCTCGGCTCAGGAAGGATGTCTCCAGAGCAAACTAATTGATGCAGCAGCCAAATCGCTCGCTCACCACTTTAATGCCAGTAGCTCACAAAGTAGAACCTTTGCTCACAAGACTCCACAGCTTAGAGGGAACATTGCTCGTAATATTTTACCACATGCACCTTTTCACAGTGCCGCCTGGGGATTTTAGTGCCAGGGTGCCAGCACTTTGTGTAAACAGTGTGAGTGATGTTTCCATGATGACGGTCCAGTTCTTGGACTGTAGACGGAGCTGAGGCATCGTTCTTTAAATAATAGTGTCATTGTCATTGGGTGGGGGACCCTTATCTGGGGTTACCAGATGTCATCTGTTTTTTGAGGACATGTCCTCTTTCTTTGGTCTCCATCCTCTTCTGGGCTCTTTTTAAAAACAAAAAGCTGATAAAAGTGTCCTCTTTTGGGGTTGGGGGGCTGAGCTGGTTTTGCCCTATAGTCCCCCCAGTGGAGGCAAGCTTCAGCTTAAAAATAGCAGGGGTACTTAAAATGGGATTTGTCATCGTGATCAGTTGTTTGAAGTAGTCAGTTGGGAAAGCCGTCCTCTTTCTTGCTTTGCAAAATATGGTAACCCTGCCTTATCAGTTTTAGCTGCCCCTGAGGACAGTTTCTCATTGAGACAAAATGAGGGGTTAAAGTAATCAAGTTCCAAGCATGCACTAATAACTACCAGCCTCCACCGGTTGATCTGGTAAATGCTGGCCGCTCACAAAACTTTGAGCCAATTGCTCACTCCACCTAGCCTACCTCACAGGATTGTTGGGGGGATAGAATGGAGGATGGGAGAGAGGTGTCCCCCTGAATATCTCAGATGAAGGGCGGGATAAAGCTGTGACAGAAATATACTGACTCAAAATATATATCATTACAGATAGAGCAAAAGGTCAAAGGAACAAATATTAAGAGAAATTGAAAGTTCGTTTTCATGAGTTGGTAGCTGGCCAACATCATCCCCAGTGGTTAGGAAAGTTGCCAGGTTTTTTATTGGCTCTGGTGACTGTGTTCGATCTGCAGGCATTAGGAATGAGGGCTTTCAAGAGCATAGCTTCAGGTTTTCTGAAACCCCAGAAGCTCTATTCTTAGAAATAGAACTAGAAATCAGGACTTTATCAGAGCTGATGTAACACAGTAGTGGAGACTTCCAAGTATTATTACTACAAGGGAAGGAGGTCCCTCGTAGTAATAATATTTAGCATTTTATACCACTTTCGTTGTACAAAGTACTTCATGTGCTATGCCTTATTGTAAATTTTACAACAGGCTTGCAAGACAGGCCAGCCTGCATCTGACACTGGAGACTTATGACTGGAAGCTGAAACATGTTATTTTGGCCCTAAAAAGCATCCACATGGACCCTGGTGATCATTGGGGCTGCTGAACTGGGGAGGGGAGGTTTAAATGCGTCCCCCTCCCTGTATGCCGTTTTTCTGTGCAAAAACAGCTTATAACCGTCTGGGAAGGGCCAGATAGCACATCTGGCATTCCAATCACAGCATTCTGTCAGGTGTCATTCGACCCCTTATTACCACCACATTGCAGACGAGATGTCAGGGAGAAAGTGGCCCGCCTGAGGCAAACTGGGGGGTGCAGGATTGTGGAGAGATTTGAACCAGAAGCCTCTCAGATTACTGTTTTAGCTGCCACACAAGCCCCAGCTCCCAGGCCTTAAGAGAAGCCCCTCCAGCCTTAGCCTCCATTCTCTCCCCCTCCCATGTCCAATGGAAGGGTAACAATGGAAGGGTAAATTAAGTTTGCCCCTACTAGGGCCAGGGCATTTTCGGTGGCGGCTCCTACCTGGTGGAATGAGCTCCCAGAGGAGATCCGGCCCCTGCGGGACCTTATGCAGTTCTGCAGGGCCTGCAAGACGGAGCTCTTCCGCCAGGCGTTCGAGTAGGAGCCACCGCCACCACTATCCTACCACCGAGGTAGTATGTCATCGGCTGCCCTACGAAAGTGGGGCAGGTATGCCCAGGCAGAAGTCATAGACAGCATAGCGGGACGCTACTGAGATAGCTGGCCACCAAAGCTGGATGGTTATTCCCATCTTGGTTGAATGATATAGCACCGTGTTATAGAATGGTTGTTGGGGTTAAATATTGTATTTTATTGTATGTTTTATTGTATTTTAGATTCCGGCTTTGCCGCCTGTGAACCGCCCTGAGCCTTTGGGAGGGCGGTATAGAAATCCAATAAATAAATAAATAAATAAAACAGCACTGGCCTACCTTACAGGAATGTCAGCATTACTGGGAAGCCAAGTGGATGCAAAGCACCTCGAACACTCTGAAACGCTATATAAGCATGAAATATTGCGTTTGGGGTGGCAAAAGGGATAGCCCAATGGTACTCAGCTCGCGGAGAGCCACGTTCACAGTAACCATCATCCAGCAGAGCTGTGTTTACTTTCATCTCTGCTGTGAGGCCTGTACCTCAGGAAGGCCCGTAGCTTACCCAGAGGTGGCTGTTCTATGGCAGAAATGAACTGCCAACCACGAGGCCCATCGGGCAAGGGTCTTGCGCAGGGCTTTTTTGGTAGAAAAAGCCCAGCAGGAACTCATTAGCATATTAGGCCACACCCAACAGCAGGAACACATTAGCATATTAGGCCACACCCCTGACATCACAGCTCATTAGCATATTAGGCCACACCCCACATGTTACCAGAAGTGTGGTCATTCAACCACACCCACCTTTTGCTTCTTATTCTGTTTACCTTGTTTGTTGTCAAAACCCTGGGCTTTTTTTGTAGCAGGAACTTCTTTGCATGTTAGGCCACACACCCCTAATGTAGCCAATCCTAATGAGTGTCTGCTGTTAGGTGTGGCCTATTATGCTAATGAGTTCCTGCTGGGCGTGGCCAACTCAGGAGCCAGCCAGAACTCTGTTCCTGTGCGTTCCTGCCCAAAAATAGCCCTGGCCTTGCGCACTTTCCTGAAACATGGAGTAGGCACCAGATTGGGAAACACTGCTTAGGAGACATGCATGGGCCTGTCAAAAAGCTGCATGTGGCTCCAAAGCCACTGCATAAGTATCACTGGGGTAACTGAAGGGGACAGTATGAGGCACCGTTCCACTGACCCTCTCTTTCTGTTCATTTTCTTCCAATCCCCAGAGTTGTCCGAATGTTTTATGGTGAATGGGGCTGATTATCGGGGGACACAGAACCGGACCTCACTAGAGAGCACTGGGCGGCCTTGTCTCTATTGGAACCAGACACGGCAACATGTTTACAACACGGCCAAGTACCCCAATGGCGAGTGGGGATTGGGCAGCCACAACTACTGCCGGAACCCAGATGGTGATGTGCAGCCATGGTGCTACATCTCTGAGAACGAGGAAGGGATCTACTGGAAGTATTGTGACATCCCTACCTGCCACAGTGAGTGCCAAGAGGATGGGCAGCCAATGCTTGGGGGGGGCGGTCAACAGTGGGAGGGCTTCTAATGTCCTGGCCCCACTGGTGGACCTCCTGATGGTGGACCTCCTGATGGTGGACCTCCCGATGGACCTCCTGATAGCCACTGTGTGACACAGAGTTTTGGACTGGATGGGCCTTTGGCCTGATCCAACATTGGCGTCCCTTATGTTCTTATGTTCTAATGGGAGGGAGGGATGGGTGCCAGGCAACAAGAGAAAGGCTACCCCGAGTGGTCCAGCGAAGAGAGTTGCATCAGGGATGACCAGATGGGATTGGGGAGCCTGGAGGGGCCAGGCCTTCTCAAGGATATTCAAGTCCACCTTTCCTGAATATTAAGCTATGGGTTTTTGAGTCTTTAACCAGCTTGGTGTAGTGGTTAAGAGCAGCGGACTCTAATCTGGAGAACCGGGTTTGATTTCCCACTCCTCCACATGCAACCAGCTGGGTGACCTTGGGTCAGTCACAAGTTCTCTCAGAGCTGTTCTCTCAAGAGCAGTTCTCTCAAGAGCTCTCAGCCCCACCTACCTCACAGGGAGGTTGTGAGGAGAGGAAGGGAAGGAGATTGTAAGCCGCTCTGAGACTCTGAGTGAAGGGCAGGGTATAAATCCAAGCGCCTCCTCCTCCTCCTCCTCCTCTTTATCTTTGTTTTCTGCACAAGATACAAAGAAAAATATGCTGATCGTATTCTGCTGGATTGCAGTTTAGAAATTAAACTTGCTGTGGCGCAGTTAATATGTTGACAGATTCTGTTGCAGTAGAACAGTTAGATTGAGTCTGCTAGCACCTTAGGGACCATGGAGATTTTGGGGGTATAAGCTTGTATCTGACAAAAAGATTATACCCCCCAAAATCTTGTTCGTCTCTAAGGTGCTGGTGGACTATTGTTATTATTATTATCCTGCCCTTTGTCCAGGGAGCTCAGGATGGCATAACTGGGTCTCCCCTCCTCCTTTTTACCTTCACAACAACCCCATGAGGTAGGTTAGGCTGAGAAAGAATCACCCAGAGAGCTTCATGGAAGCAACTCACAACGTTGCACCCAGTCAGCATTCGGGATGGGAATCCACGGGGAGCTCAGTTTAAGAGGTAAATATGGGAGGTCACCTGACTGGGACCCTTTGTTGTCTTCTCCAGTGCCTGGTTATGTCGGCTGCTTCCTGGATTCTGGGACTCCTCCAGCACTGAGCGGGAGCAGCGGCACCTCCACCAAGCTCACGGTACAAGTCTGCCTCAGCTTCTGCCGCAAGCGGGGCTATAAGGTAAGGCCCCCTCTCAAATAGGGGGCACGCTGCCACTGCAGACGTAATCTGGCTGAATATTTCCTCTCCCCCAGGAAAACTTGGGCACTGGAGTTCCGTGAGGGGACCTAAGGCTGTCGTAACGGATTCCAGTTCCCATGATACTTTTGTGGGAAGCCATGATAGATTGGTATCTCAATACAATCTACGGCCTTGAGGGCTGCCAGCTTTTTAAACTGGTGCTTCTCTCCATGTCGAGAAGCTTATGGGCTGATTTCTGCAAGCTGAGCTGCTAGGAGAGGCACAGAAGTAGGCCTGCTTCTGTTTCTAGTCTTTGCCTCCACAAATTATCATTCAACTTGCACGCACTCACGTGCTGCATAAAACTGGGAACATTATGATGAAGTTAGGTCTAGCGGTGAAGTCGATCTCCCTGTGGAGGTACAAAACATTGCTGTGAGTAGGCTTGCTGGGTAGCCTGGTTGTGGGACACCCTCCTGCCTCTACCAGCTCTCCCCCACTCTGACTGGGGGGAAACAGGGCAGCGGGGGGATGACATAGCAGATGCGGCATTGCCACATCTGGGGTGCTCTAGGAATTTCCCTAATCTCTGTGGTCTGTACCATAGAGATTAGGGGGGAATTCCTAGAGTGTCGTGGCATAAGGTGATGTCACTTCTGGGTCTTCACTGCATTGCACCACACTCAAAAGCGCCTGGGGTTGCCAGGCACAGGTCTAGCACCCCTAGCTGAGGGAGGTGAGAATCCTTTCCTCCAGTCCCCACCCTTACCAGTGCTCTCTCACTCAGAGAGGAGGCTTGATGCTGAAGATAAGAGGTGACGTTTTGGCCACTTTCTTACTGAGGGGGTCTCCATTTGCCACCAAAAAGACTGTGCTGGACTTCATGGGACCTGCTGTAACCAAAGCCATGTTGGGACAGGAGCTATAGTAAGGAGGGGGATTGGGTGACACTGAGTGAAAAAGTTGGTTGGATGCAGCACCAGGGCTATTTTTGGGCAGGAACGCACAGGAACGGAGTTCCGGCTGGCTTCAGATTTGGCCGCACCCACTACAGCCAAAACCTCTGTGTGCCTGGCTACAGAGGGAAGGCCTGGAGAGCGACACCACCACCCCTGACTCCGAGGCGGGTGTACCGGGGGGGCCCTAGAAGGATCTGTCCAAGGGCTGGCTTGTCCAGGCTCCCCGCAGGACAGATCCTTCCAAGGGAAGGCATGGGATGTGGCCTAATATGCTAATGAGCTGTGCTGTCAGGGTGTGGCCTAATATGATAATGAGTTTCTGCTGTTGGGTGTGGCCTCTTATGCTAATGAGTTCCTGCTGGGCTATTTCTACAAAAAAAGCCCTGTGCAGCACTATGTTTTGAGTCATACAGAGATCTCCCGCCCCCTTTCCCTCGTCAGCCTGATGCTCTTCCCTGCCTTGGCTGGTTTACGAGAGCGGAACCTTCCCAACTGATCGGCCTGATAACTTGGCAAGGAGCGAGATGGAGTAGCATTTGTTTTGTCTCCCAGCCTCTCCAGACTATCCGTTTTTATTGGCGCAACCAATGCACAGTTGTTAGCCATTTGTTGCGCTTGGGTTGGACAGCCGTCCTCGTGGGTGTGTGAGCCCGTGCCACTAAGATGGCATTTCCTGATCATTTCACGCGCCGTATTTTGTACCTGGGAAAATGCTGTTCTCCCCCTCCCACAGCATGTGTGTCTCTCCAGTAATTCTCATAGGGATGGCTTAGTAACAGACAGGACTAGCGGAGGCCCAGTGGGATATTTTTGGCTCCTTCCCGCAGAATATTCAGCTGTCTTTTTTACAATTAAAAAAAGTCCTTTTATTTATGGAAACATGGGGGCGGGGTGGGGGATACAGGGGCATTATTGCACCCAATTGCTCAGTAAGAAATACATTTCTGCTCCAGGTTCTAATGTTCTAGCCAGTGGCTTGGATCCAAGAGAGCATTTCCATGCATAGTATGATTTCCACCAGTCGCCTCGGCAGCAATTGCTCCCATTACGCATGGTTGACAGGCTCCCAGTATGCGTGACTATGACATCTGAAAAGGTCTCTGAATGCAGCCACATCAGTTCAGCTTTCCCCCCACCATCCTGTTTATGCTCCTTTCCTTCCTTAGCCTGCCTTTTCTGCAACTTTATATTGTAAGCCCCGTAGGCAGGGCTCGTTATTATTTAATTTTTGCACAGCCCCTCCTTATTCGAGATCCCTTTATAAACAGTAATTAAGCTTTAGCATGCTATGATCCACAGCCTCAGCCCTGCAATTTAATTAACACCATCCTAGGGTCACGGGTAGGTGGCAGAGATAGATCCCTCGTCCTCACCCGTGCATGTTCCTACCAGCTCTTTTCCCCCCTTTCCCTGTGCAGTTTGCAGGAGTAGAAGCCGGCTACGCGTGTTTCTGCGGCCACGAGGGAGATATCCGGCGCAGCCAGCCAGTGAGCGCCGTGGAGTGTGACCAAGTATGCTTCGGCAAGTCCAGCGAACTGTGCGGGGGGGACGGACGGATCGGCATCTATAACGGTAAGTGTGTCGAAACACAAGGACTGTTCTGGATAAGTTCCCTCTCCCCAGCGTGTATTTGCTTTAAATCAGAAGTCCATCAGGCTGCAGAAAGACTCTAGACCTGTAGCCGCAGAAAGCAGCGGACAATATTTGGGGGGTTGTGGTCATACTAAGAAGTCATGGAGTTGTGATTTTTGGTCTGTGGTGTTTGTTTGGGTCTGGGTGACTGTTCTGGATAAGTTCCCTCTCCCCAATGTGTATCTGCTTTAAATCAGAAGTCCATCAGGTTGCAGAAAGACTCTAGACCTGTAGAAAGCAGCGGACAATATTTTGGGGGTTGTGGTCATACTAAGAAGTCATGGAGTTGTGATTTTTGGTCTGTGGTGTTTGTTTGGGTCTGGGTGATGCAATGGGGTGGGGGGAATCTTTGTCCGGAGGCTCGTGGTGGCTCTTGGCAATGCTGGCTAAACCTAAAGGAGCAGAACATGCGATGCTGATTCTGTCTTGTTTGTTATCAGCAAATGTGCTTTGTGTGATTCCTGTATTAGAATACTAAAATCTCATAGATTGTGGGCAGAGCACCAGCTCTGTGTTGGGAATTTCCTGGAGATTTGGGGGTGGAGCCTGGGGAGGGTGGGGTTTGTGGAAGGGGAGGGTGCTCGCAGCCCTCACGGTGGGACCATCCACACTTTGAAAGGCCTTTTTAAACCTTCCCCCAAACCCCACCACTGCACTTTACCTTAAAGGTAAAGGTTCCCTTGCTCGAAAGCCAGCCGAGTCCGACTCTAGGGTTGCGGTGCTCATCTCCGTTTCCAAGCCAAAGAGCCAGCGCTGTCCGAAGACGTTTCTGTGGTCATGTGGCCGGCATGACTAAACGCCAAGGCGCACGGAACGCTGTTACCTCCCCACCGAAGTGGTACCTATTTATCTACTTGCAATTTCTTGCTTTCGAACTGCTAGGTTGGCAGGAGCTGGAACTAGAGACGGGAGCTCACTCCGTCATGCGGCACACTCGGGTCTCGAACTGCTGAACTGCCGACCTTCCACAGCCTGCAGTTCAGCGTCTTAACCACTTGAGCCACCGCAGCTCACTTTAACTAGCAACTAATACCTCCTTTGTCTGAAACCTGCCCGCTTAAGGAGACCCTCCATGAATGGCCTTATTGGAGACATCTGCCTTCTGAAGCAAAGTGTCTGGTGACCACGGATAGGACGTTTTGGTAGTGGCACCCTGTCCTCCAACTCCCTGCCCAGAAAAGTGAGCCTAACACTTTCACCGTTGCCTGTTAGGTGCCAGGCAAAGCCCTTTTCATTTTTGTTCCAGTCAATTTTAGTCTCGGGCCTTTGTATTCATAGTTGCTCCCCTGGAATGTGGTGTGTTGTTCGTTGTGTCATGTAAATTGTGGGTCTTAATGTTATTCTTTTTTTTCTTTTTTTTTTAAAGTTGGAGCAGTAATTTATGTAAAGTGATATGGTGTAACAATAACTTTGATGCATGGCTTAAGTTTACAAAGTTGCCATCCATTCATGTTGTCTGGTTTCTGAAATAATTTATTTGATAGCCTTGTGATGATCTACTGTTTTTAACGCAAACCGGACTGATTTATTGACCAGCTAGAGCCAGTATGGTGTGGGGGGTTAGTGTGATGGACTAGGCCTGGGGAAAACTGTGCTCAAATCTTGACTCAGTCACAAAGCTCACCAGTGTTCCCTCTAAGCTGAGTTAGTGTGAGCTAGCTCACAGTTTGTTAGCCTCTGGCTCACACATTTTTGTCTTAGCTCAGGAGGGATGGCTCCAGAGCAAACTAATTTATGCTTTAGCCAAATCGCTCGCTCACAACTTTAATGGCAGGAGCTCACAAAGCAGAATTTTTGCTCACCAGACTCCACAGCTTAGAGGGAGCATTGAAGCTCACTGGGTGATCTTCGTCCATTTTTTCCTCTCTCTCAGCCTTGCCTAGTTCACGCTTGTGATCTTCGTCCATTTTTTCCTCTCTCTTAGCCTTGCCGCCTAGTTCACACATAGTTGTGAGGATAACATGGATGTGGGGAGAGCCAAGTCTGTTTCCTTGAGCTCTTTGAGGGAAGGGTGGGTCAGAAATGGGATAGGGACGCTTCTTTCTCATATTCCTCCCCGTAACTAATGTTGAATTATATCTTTTGTTTCTATCTGTTATATTGCTGTTATCAGTCCAGTAAAGAAAAAATATGTGTATGTATGAAAGGGAGGGGAGAAGACAGAGAAAGGTAGTGATAGCCCTCTCCTGTTGTTAATTCCCATCATTTGATTCAGGGGTCATTTCGTAGAAAAAGAGGTGCAGGAGCTCATTAGCATAACTCTTTAGGATAACTTATTTGCATATGCCACACCCCCTGACATCACCGGAAATGTGTCAGAAGGCAACACCCACTGCAACTTACCTGGCTGCTTCTTGCTCCTCATGGCCCAGGGCTGCTGGGAGCAGGGGGTGGGGCTTGTTGCATGTGCCCACCCCCTGGGCTCCGCTCCTGTGCGCTCCTGCAGGAAATGACCCCTGATTTGATTCATCAAAAAGGTTTTTTGCCTTGGAACATGGAGGTTTCATTTCTGGCACCTGGCTAATAGCCACTGAAGCTGGATATGGTGGCAAGAGCAGGTAACGTGGCTTGAGAAAGTTTTCAGTTTTCCAGTGGCATGCATAATGCTGCCACCTCAGGTAAACAGGTTGTTTGGGTTCTGAAAGCAGCCCAAAAGCCTGAGGAGAAAATGGGAGAAAAAGGCAATGCCTTTTTAAAAACTGCCTTCAGTTCTCTGGAAAACTACCATCCCTAGCCTGATAGACGTTATGCTTCGATTTGCCTGGATTGTGCTCCAGGAACCTGATCCAGCACATGGAGATCCACTTGCTGAAACAGTGTTTCAGGAGTTTACCTTATTATACTCCGAAGCTGTTAATTGCATATGTGTGACCATAGCTTTGGATTGGGACCCAGGGTTTAAGAAGGCAAGGGACCTGTTTGTGTAAACATGGCATGAAAGGAATGATTGAACCTATAGATTCAGAACATAAACAGGGCTTTTTCTCTGGGGGGGAACGCACTGGAACAGAATTCCGGAACATCTTCGACAACATTATCTTAAAAATGTTTAAAGGTTCATGAGTTTTCAGGGTATAGATTGAAAACTCCCTTTCCCTCTTGACAGTTCCGGCGCCTCTTTCTCAAAAAGAAATTTTTTAAAAGCCCTGCAAAACATCCTCTGGATTGTTTAAAGGAAGTCTGATTCAGGTGGGGCAGCCATGTTGGTCTGAAGGAGCAGGACAACGTTCGAGTCCCGCGGCCCCTTTAGGACCAACAAGGTTTCATTCACAGTATATGCTTTCGTGGGCACGCACATTTCATCACCACTGAGGTTGCCGGAGATCACGACTGTGCCTTTAAATTCCCAGAGGCAGTAGGAGATGAAACAGTAGAGGCTCCTCCTTGGCCCAGTCTGCATCTAGCATTTGCTCCACTGTTTTACCAAACCCATGCTGGCACTTCTGCACTGTAGGGTTGCCGAGTCTGTTTTTCGCCACAGCGGGGGACTCCCAGCTGGCGGCTGGAGAGAGCGTGCGCGCCGCATCCACGCAGTGCCGGATTTACGCATAAGCTAAATAAGCTACAGCTTAGGGCCTCGCAATCTGCTGGGGCCTCAAATAAAAACACAATATAAAAAATGATTTAAAATATTAACAAGGCGTATATATTTTAAAATTTTCGAGACCAGCTGATGTAATTTAAAACAGTAGGGGGCGTCTCGGTTTTGTATAGCTTAGGGCCTCAGCAAGTCTAAATCCGGCCCTGCATGATCCACATCACTCAGAAGTGACGCGACCACACCGGGCACGCTGGGGGTGGGGCCACGACTATCCAAGGGAAAACCATAGAGTTTTCCCTCAGATGACCGGGGCCCCGCCCCCAGCATGCCCGGCGTGGTCGCATCACTTCCGGGTGATGTGCACATCGGGGTGGGGTTCCCCCTGGGGCCCGATCAGCCAGCGGCGGGGAACGGGCCTCTGGGGCAGGGGTTTCCCCGCCCCCTGGGGGGACTTGGCAAGCCTACTGCACTGTCATGTTTGTCACTCATTTGTCCCTGTTGCTTTGGGTTCCACCCTCCCACCCCCACCTTTTCCACATGTGTTTTGCCCCCTCTTGGGACTACCAGACAGAGCAAAACACATTGGGGGGGGGAACACCCTGAAGCCATGGGGACAAACGAGTGAGAAAAATGACAATGCGGAAGTGGTTGGGAACAGAAAAAGATGCGGCTCAAAACCACATCCAAATTACCCCCCCCAATGCTATACTGACTGCAGAATCACCCCTGAATGGCCATAAAACAGCTACCATAAAACCGAGAGATCAAAGGAAGTGAAAGCAGCCTGCAGTCTGGACACTGCCATAAAATCCGACAATCAAAGTGAAAGCGGCATGCAATGCAGAGGGGGATTTCTGTTCCAGTTTGGGTTTGGTAAGACAGCGGAGAGAATGCTAGATGGAGATTGGGCCCTTCCCTCCTCATTATAGCAAGTGAGCAGGAGCCGGAGAACAGGGCTGGAGAGAATTTAGTCTTTGTTGCCTTGTCTGTAGGAGCTGCGGTGGCTCAAGTGGTTAAGACGCTGAACTGCAGGCTGTGGAAGGTCTAGTTCAGCAGTTCGAGACCCGAGTGTGCCGCATGATGGAGTGAGCTCCCGTCTCTAGTTCCGGCTCCTGCCCACCTAGCAGTTCGAAAGCAAGAAATTGCAAGTAGATAAATAGGTACCACTTCGGTGGGGAGGTAACAGCGTTCCGTGCGCCTTGGTGTTTAGTCATGCCGGCCACATGACCACGGAAACGTCTTCGGACAGCGCTGGCTCTTCGGCTTTGAAACGGAGATGAGCACCGCAACCCTAGAGTCGGACTTGACTGGCTTTCAAGCAAGGGAAACCTTTACCTTTACCTGCCTTGTCTGTAGCCATATCAGGGGATTTAAAAGTCCAGGGCTGCCTATGGTAATT